ATTATTATTATTATTATTATTATTATTATTATTATTAATGAGGCACTGAGTAAAGAAATGTTTCCCCATGAACCTACAACAGAGACACAATATCCTTACCGTCTTCATACACTCACAGCAGTATTAGTCCTAAGAGCCAAAATGTGGAAGCAGCCCAAGACACCAACAGAGAGATGGATAAGCCAAGAGCTAAAAGCACACAATGAAGTATTATTCAACCTTAGAACGGAACCAGAACTGGTGGCACATACCTGTATGCTCAGAATACAGGAGGCTGGAGCAGGAGGACTGCCTTGAGTTTGAGGCTACCTGTGGCTACTTAGAGGAAAATCTGGCATGTGATAACAAGGCTGAACAATGAGGACACTATGTTAAGGGAAATAACTGAATCACTAAAAACAAACTGAATGAGTGACTTCACTTACGAAGGCATCTGGGGAAGTTAAACCCTTAAGGAAAGAAGGAAGGAAGAAGGTGAGAAGGAGGAATGGAGAGGGGAAGAAAGGAAGGATAGTAGGTAGGTGGGTGGCTGTAAGAACTGAGGGAGAGGGAAAATGGAGATTGTAATAAGTATAAATTTGAATTGTGGGAGAAGGCTGAAGTGATGGTTTAGATGATGTGATGCAGTTAGAAGCACTTACTGCAACTTTAATCCTAGTACTTGGGAGGCAGGGCCAAGTTGGACCTCAAGTTCAAGGCCAGCCTGGTCTACAGAGCAGGTTCCAAGACAAACAAACAAAAAAGATATATGTGTTTGGCCTACGTGTGCGTGTTCGTGCACGCACATGCGTGTGTATGCAAAGGCCAGAACAGATTGTCAGCTACAGATGTTTGTGAGCCACAACATAGGTGCTGGGAATTAAACCTGGATCCTCTGGTAGGGCAGCAATTACTTTTCTTTCTTTCTGGGGAGGCAGGGATTTAAGACAGGGTTTCTCTGTGTATCCCTGGCTGTCCTGGAACTCACTCGGTAGACGAAGCTGGCCTTGAACTCAGAGATCTTACCTGCCTCTACCTCTGGAGTGCTAGGATTAAAGGCGTGTGCTACCAGTATTTTAAAATTAATCTCCTGAATTATGTCAGCACATACTATGGAAGGCACAGAATTATACCATCTAGGTATTGACTAAGGGTAAAAACTCTGGGATAGGGAGGTGCTCAGTGAGTAGGAACACTTGCTGCACAAGCATGAGGACCTGAGTTCGAATCCCCAGTACCCACAGAAAAAGATGAATGTGGGACTAAGAGATGGCTCCAGGTTAAGAGCAGTTGCTAGTCTTACTGAGGACCCAGGTTGGATTCCCAGCACCCACATGGTAGTACACAACTCCAGTTTCGAAGGCTCCTGACTGCATGTGGTGCACACACATACACATAAATTTTTTAAAGAGAGAGGTGTGGCTGCGCATGCCTGTAACCCCAGCACTGTAGTGGATGGAGAAAAAGGAATCCCTAGGGCTCACTGGCTGCCAGCCTACCTCTGGGTTCAGTGAATGATAAAGAGTGATAGAGCAGAACATCACACCTGCACACACAAGTGTATATACACCACACACACAAAGACTAAAAGCTCTGGACTCACTCAGCAAACCAAAGCACAGGACCCGAATATAATGGGATTTGGGTTAAGTATTTTAGCGCAGTTTTCATCCATAAACTGGAGATCCTAACAGGGCCTATCCCACAAGGTTTTTACTAAGATTGTACTACTGAGAGACAGTAGAGAGCTTGCCCAGAACACTCAAGCCCTCAGTTCAATCCCCAGCAACCCCGCCCACCAAAGCAAAAGGTTATATTGAGACTAGTGCAAGAGCAGTGCTTAATATACTAGCTCCAAAAGGCCTGCTCTCTGCCAATAGTGAGAGCATGGTCTGCTCTCCACACTAACACCTTCTGTCTTAGGTTGCTGCCTTCCACTGGTGCACTTCTGTTGGCAATAACCCCTGTCTAAGCCTATCCTACCTTCCAGAGAAAGTTGCGCTATTGAGAGTTCCCTTCCACTCCAAGTCTTCTCAGCCTTTCCCTCCCACCAGCTCTGTGCCAACTGCATTTAAGCTCTCATGCTAAAAAAAAAAAAAAAACCAACCTTCCCTTACTCCTCAATCTTGCTGCAGCCTTCTCCCTCCCTCCACAGCCACCCTTCTTGGAGCTGCCTACACTCTTGTCTTCTCACATCCCACTCTTACCTCATCCCACTGATACACCAAACCTTTCGAAGCCGGGACATTATGGATTCCGCCCCCAGCACTTCACCACATCTGCTCAGTCAGGCCCCTAGTGACCCCTGGAACTTATTTATTCAGATGGCACATTCCAACTTTAACTGCTCCTACTTGCCACCTTTGTGGCATCTAGCAAAGCTGACCTCTGCCCTTGTCTTCACTACCATACTCTCTTGGTTTCCTCTTACTTCAAGAGCCACGTCTTCTTGGTGTCACCTAAGGGAATAGTTCTCCTAAAAGTGTGCAAAGCAGCAGCCCTGGGTCCTTTAAAAAAAAATCTCTCATTATCTCTCACTATTATTTGGGTATGTGGGGGGAGGGTTGAGATAAGGCCTGGCTATGTGTGTAGCCCAGGCTAGCTTCGAACTCCTGATCCTCCTGCTTCAGCCTTGAGTTCTGGGATTGTGGGTGTGAACCACCACAGTTGCCACTTCTAGTTGAAGTGAACCACTTTTACCTCCATTAATAAACTGCTAATGCCCAGTGTGGTGGCAGATTTTTAATCCTAGGACTCTGGAGGCAGAGGCAGATGAACCACTGTGGGTTTTAGGCCAGCCCAGCCTACAAAGCAAGTTCTGTACCAAACAGGGCTACACAAAGAGACCTTCTCTCAAAATAAACAGACTCACTAATGAACTTGTGTGTATACATGTAAGTGTTGAGATAAAATCTCACTCAGCCCAGACTAGCCTTGAACTGGCTATGTAGCCAGTGCTAAAACTCTTGTCCTCCTAACTCCACCTTCCAAATGCTAGGAATACAGGCAGATACCGCCATGCCAGGTGGGCTCTGTGACATTGCTTTTGAATGTGTTTAAAATACTGTCCCTTTTACCAATCTCATCATCTCTCCAGATGGAGCTAATTCACACTGCTCCCTCCTCAAACCTCCAAACTAGACTGTATTCACCAGAGCAGAAGTACCCTATTAATACCTCCCATTACACAGCACTCGACAGAGGCATAATTTCCTGACTGGGCTCTATCTCCATGGTAAGGACCAGCTTTCTCATTATGGTGCCTCACAATGCCTGGTACCTCACACTTGCTATGGGTTAGATGTGGTTTGCATGTATCTCCCAAGGGTTCATGTGCTGAAATTTCATTCCCACTGTGAGGCATGAAGAAATTATTTGGAAATTATCTGAAAGCGGCATCTAAAGGTGGGACCACTGGAAAGGAATCAGCATTAGATAAGGTCATTAGGTTGGAGTTCTTGGGACTGGATACTGGCACTCTGTGAGGAAAGGCTAAGGATATATATAGCTCAGAGGCAGAACATCTGCCTAATGTGGGCACAGGTCTCTTCGACCCCCAGCACCACACTGAGGAATCCTCAAACTCCCCATCTCGTAACATGCAAAACCCCAGGCCATCTCAGGACTCTGCTATAAGAAGGCCATGGTCAGAAGTGGGCTCCAAGAATCTACATAAGTTTAAGCTAAACAAAACCTGTTTTCCTTCTGAAGCTATCCAACCTCAGGTAGTTAGTTTTAATACTGAAAAGGGGTCTAAGACAACATTCTATATTAAGTTTGTTTGTTTGTTTGTTTGTTTGTATTACAATAAATAACTGGCTGCAAAGTGAAAAATAAAAGTGGTAAGACCAGCCAGGCCAGGTAGCTCACACCTGTAATCCCAGCACTCAGGGAGGCAGAGGCAGGCAGATCTAGGTGAGTTTGAGGTCAAGCCTGGTCTACAAAGCGAGTCCAGGACAGCCAATGCTACATAGAGAAACCTTGCCTTGAAAAAAAACAAAAAAGAAAAGGAGTGATAAAACCAAAGAGAGTGAAGGATCTATTTCTGATCAAGCACACACACACACACACACACACACACACCTGACTAGAATATTCTACCAGTTCACACCTGTATCCCAGAACCCAGGAGGTGGAGACACAAGGATTAGGAGTTCAAGGCTAGCCTCAGCTACCGGGCAGCATTAAGGCCAGCCTGGAGCCCATAAGATCCTGTGTAAAACAAGCCTCTCCCTTGAAGGCCCACAAAAAATAAAATAAATAAACTTCCCAAAACTTTACCCCGCCCCTAAAAAAAGTCTGTCTCAAACATCAAGTAGAGATGATTTCTACCTTTCAGATTCCCTTCCAGCCTGAAATTCTTGGGAGAGTCTCTAGAAGTTGGGTTGTCTCCTCAAGGCTGTCTTCCTAACACTGGACACATCACCAACCTCGTCTTCTGGCCAACACAGCCGCAGGCTTCAAATCTTTTTGGAATTAACCTTCTTGTGTAATCTCTCTCTAACCACCACACTCGCCTCTGAAGGTCTACCGCATTCAGTAGTTTCCTCTACGTGCAAAACCGTATTTCAAATTACACCAAATTCCTGTCCACAGGTCTGTTTCCTACCGATAGGAGTGGAGTTCCCTAAGGACTTTTTTTTTTTTTTTAAACCGCTGGCGATCAGCCCGGGGGCCCTGGTTCTCAATAAATACTCAATGATGCTCCTCGCAGTAAGAGCAACAAGAAAAGCTCCCACGTACTGAGGATTTTAAATATAAATATACTTTGTGATCATCTTACAAGACAGGCGTTAGCGTTATCCCCATTGTGCAGGTGCGAACACTGACGCAGAAAGAGGTCCAGCCTCACCGACCCCCACCCTCGGAGATCGACACAAGCACACGTTCTCTTCAGTTCCTAGTTACCCCGCAACCAACCCTCATAGAAAAGGAGCTTTTTAAAAAAACACTGTTTACAAGGAAAACTTTCGAACGAGGCTCGAGAGATGCGTCAGAATGAAAGCCGAAAGCGCACCCACCGGAACGCGCCCAGGGTCAGAGGACGTCGCGGGCGCCAGCCGGCTCGTGGGCCCAGGGGACGAAGGTCCGGCCCTCTGTCCTTGCCCGGCGTCCCCGCGGCCCGTCCCTCGCCGGTCGCCTGGCGAACCGCTCCTCTCCGTGCCGCGTCCGCCCGCTCTACCGCCGTTTACCTGTCGCCTCTTCGCCTCGCGGAGCCACGGCCGGCGGCGCGAGCGCCTCCCCGGGGCCGCCTGGCGCCCGCAGCCCGCCGCGGAGCCGTTGCCTAGGCGACGCGGCGGCTGCCGAACTTCCGCGTCGTTTCACGCTACGGCGGCCGGGAAGGGACCGTGTAGGCAGGCGGGTTCGGCAGCAGCGAGCAATGGGCGGAGGAAGGAAAGCTGTGCTGAGGCTGGGGCCTTAGCTCTCCAGAGGGGTGGCCCGACAAAAGATGGGCATGGGGAACAGCGAGGCTCTAGGTGAGGGCTTGGGACCTCGGATGCTGCTTGTGCCTCAATTCGTCTTGTGGAGGAGAGGGGCCTTTTGTTCCAAGTTTACTGGGTTCCAAGTTTAAGTTTACTGGCAATATATGGGTTTGGGGTTTTTTTGTTTTGTTTTTTTTTTTTTAGTTTGTCTTTGGTTTTAGAACTAAAGGGAGGGTTTATCAAAGATGGGCATCACAATTATCTCATGCTCTATGGAATTCCCAGCTGGGTGATAGAATTCCTTTACTCCCTTCAGTTGTTTCTCATCCTCCTTATACAGATAGAGACCATCTCAGTTAATTAGCTCACAGCAGCAACACCGTCTTTCTAATTCTTAACTCACATACATAACACCTGCAGAGCCCTAGGCTCTCACATTCATTTCAGGACAAAGGTCAACAACTATTAGGGAGTGCCTGAGTTAAGCTCTTTAGCTATCACAGGGAAATCATGCATAAACTGTCCATAAACCAGACCACTTTGGAAAATAAAAATAGAACACAAGCATCATTAACACCTGGGATAGTTTTCTTCCAATGACACCGTGCCATCAGGTTAGGGCTGGCCATCACAAACTCCATTGTTTTTAAAAGCAGGAGTTGAGACTCAATGTACATTGCTAGGATGTTGAGCAAATCAATGGTGGTACACCCATAAAACAGGTACATCCATAGAAAAAAATAAGAGAGTCAAACTAGGCATGGAGGCTCACAACTGTAATCCCAACAACTGGGGAGGCTGAAATAGGAGGGTCACTGAGAGTACAGGACTAGCCCGGGCTACAGAGTGAGTTCAGCAGCTGCCTGGCCTAGACCAAACCCCAACTAAAACAAAATCCAAAGTCACTGCAGCTGTCAACAGTTTACATGTCGCTCTACCTGTCTATGGGTGTAATAATAATCTCCTGGTTTCCTAACTAGTCCTGTTCTTGCTTCTACTTTTTTTTGGAGGGCTGGGGGGGGGGGGGGGGGGGGGGGGGCGTGGACAGGGCCTATATATAGCCCTTGCTGTCCTGGAACTCTGTCCATACACTAGACTGTCCTGAAACTCAGATCTGCCTGCCTCTGCCTCCAGAGTTGTGGGATTAAAGGCCTGTGCCCACACACCCAGCCTCATTCTCAGCCTTTCTTTTATTTTTGCAATGTTGATCAAACCCAAGACTTTGCACATGCTAGGCAAACACTCTGCCACGGACTTTTCCTCAACACGTTCTTTTGTGGTTTTTAAGCCAATCAGGCTTCTGTCTCAAGCCCTTTACTTTTACAGTTCTGTATCCAATTCTCACTTCCAGATATCAATACAGTTTGTCTCAATTGCTTTGTGCCTCTGTGCCTCTGCACCTGTGTCCTATGACCTAGAAGACCTGACCTGATTACCTTTAAATTAGTAGATTCCCCACAAATTCTCTCTTCTTTTTCACTCTCATCCAGTGTCTGACAGGTGTGTTACGTATTTGTTTATTGCTTGTTTCTTTCCACTAGAGCATACACTCTTTTAAGGACAGGCGATTGGCTCCCCAGTGTTTGCTATCTCATCCCTGGGAACAGTGCCTGGCACATGCAAAAGCCTAGTAAATATTTATCATATGAATAAGCTGAATATACAACACCATGTGTTTGGAACCCTACCCCATGTAAAGAGAAGCAATAGATTATATATGTGTGTGTATATAGACCTGCACATATATAAATATGTATATTGCCAACATAGGCAAAGGCTAGAGACAGTTGAAGGCTGTCTGCTGCAGCAGCCCAAATACTTCTTTTTAGAGACCTCTACTTAGGTGAAGCCAGGATTATTGATTTCACAGAAAAAAAAAATTTCAGGAGCCAATATGAAACTTACCTGCAATTTATTAAGAAGAGATTTTTAACATCAATTTAAGCATGGGGTTAATAGAAAGAGAGGCACCCAGGAAAAGAATAGGTGTGGGTGTGAACTCCCCAAGCAAGAGTCATCACATTTGAGTGACTGAACTATAACTACAAATAATTTTAGTAGCTTCTGAAGTTATATCTTACAAGGGCTGCTGAAGAATTTCTTTTCCTTTCTTTCTTCTCTCTCTCTCTTTTGTAAATGCCAAACTTTGGGCAGAGTGCAGGGAATCTTATGGAAGAGGGAAGAGATAGAATGACTTGGAGGGGACAGGAGACCAACAGAGCCAAAAAATCTTGGCCCAGGGGCCTATGCAGAGACTGATGCACTAACCAATGACCATGCAAGGAGAGGACCTAGACCCCCTGCTCAGATGTAGCACATGAGCAGTTCACTCTCCATGTGTACTCCTTAGTAAAGAGAGTAGGGGCTGTCTCTGACATGGAATCTGTAGCTGGCTCTTTGATCACCTCCCCCTGGGGGGGGGGGTGCAGCCTTCCCAGGCCACAGAGGAAGTGGATGCAGCCTGTCCTGATTAGACCTGCTAGGCTAGGGTCAGATAGTAGAGGAGTAGGCCCTCTATATCAGTGGAGTAGGGGAGGGGCATGGGGGGAGAAGAGGGAGGGAGGGTGGGACTGAGATGAGATGAGGAAGCAGGCTACAGCTGGGATACAAAGTGAATAAATTGTAATAAGTAATAAAGTTTTTAAAAGTAATAGAAAAATAAAATTCTTATTTGAAACATCTCTATACAAAAGGATTAGTGTCTCTATGTAGGCAGCTTTCACAACAAATAGTAATTGTGTTGGAGGATTTTTCTCATTTTGTTTTAAGACAGAATCTCACTGTGTAGCCCTGGCTGTCCCTTTAATTATTCCTGTCTTTCCATCTTACTGTTAAGGGGTTCAGGAATAGCTGCATACTGACCACTTGGACACCAGACTCAGATCAAAAGAAGTTTATTGAAGCTGAACAAAAAGCTGACCAGCCAAGGACACTTCTAGTCTTGGGAACCAGGCAGTGACACTGAGCCATTTTCAAAGTGACTTGTTAAAGGGAAAAGCCACAACCAAGGAGGAACAATCTTTTTTTTTTTTTTTTTTTTTTTTTCAGGTGCAGTGTGTTCATTCAACTGAGAAGAATTAATTTTTTTGCTTCATAGTCATTGTATCTAGGTAACTAGACAAAGTACTTTAAACTGATTGGCTGAGACATAGTGTAGGGGAGTCCTGGGTGTGTGGCTTTCAGCTTTCTGGGAGGAACATAGCAGGATGTTGCAGTCTTAACCCTTAACAAAATATACATTTGTCTTTAACTCAAGCAGAACATATATTTATCATCTATTGTTTATTCGAAGTAGCAAGCACTGAACTATTGAATAGTATCCTGGTCTCAGGCACATAGGGCCTGAGAACTTGAACTTATTTTCACCTTATGATCATCATGGAGATAGGGAGGCAAAATGGCTTCTGATATGCCAAAAGCAACTGCGGGAGTTAACAGTTATGCTAAGAACTAAACTCAATGGAAGGGTTTTAGTTATATGAAAAGATGAAACTAATAACAGCACTCACAAGGAGGAGATCTAGGAAATGGGAGTGGTGAAACACACACACAAACACACACACACACACACACACACACACACACACAAAGAGTTCCTTTGTGATAAGGTCCTATAATAAAGCTTAGCCTAAGATAGAACTCAGTATGTAGTTCACGTTAGCCTTGAACTCATGACAACCCTTCCCCACCCTACTTGGTATGATTGCAAGCGTTAAGACACTATGTCTGCCTTTATGTAGTTTTGTTTTTTGTTTTTTTTTTTTTTTAACCACCTGTGTACTCTGTCTTTTCAAACAACATCTGGAGGGAAATGGCCTCGTTTTGATGATGGATATGTGCATATGGAAGAATATGCCTTGGGTAGCAGTGAGCCCCACATTCTAGAAGAGATTGAGGTCGGTCTTGCATGAGGTGGGAAATTAGATACTTTGCCTCTTTACCAACTAAAAGGACACCATATTTAGGGCTAGAAACCAGAAGAGATGAGTGAGATTTCATACTAAGGATTACAGATTTATGGCACCAGTTCAGCTTAAATTCAAGAATTCTAGGGGCATCCAGAAAGGTTTAGTCATTCTGAGCAAAGTGACTTGGATGGGTATGTGTTATGAAAATCCAAAAGAGGATGGACATAATGTCCCACACCTTTAATCGTAGCACTTAGGGGGCAGAGGCCAGTGTATCTTTGTGAGTATAAGGCCAGCCTTATCTACACAGAGAGTTCTAGAACAGCCTAGGCTACACAGAGAAACCCTATCTTGAAAAACCAGAAAACAAAACAAACAAAAAGACAGGGTCTCTCTATGTAGCCCTGGCTGTCCTGGAACTCTCTGGGTAGACCAGGCTGGCCTTGAACTCACAGAAATCCACCTGCCTGTGCTTCCTCAAGTGCTGGGACTGCAGGCTTGCATCACAGGGCCCTGCGAGAGACCTTGTCTTTAAAAAAAAAAAAAATCCAGAGTGGACAGGAACTCAAGAAAACCAACAGAATCAACTAACCTAGGCTCATAGGGGCGTACAGAGACTGAAGCACCAATCAAAGAGCATGCATGGTGTGGACCTAGCCCCCAACACATTTGTAACTGATGAGCAGTTTGGTCTTCATGTGGGTCCCCAAGCAAGCAGAATGGGGGTTGTCTCTGACATGGACTCTATTGCCTGCTTTTGGATCACTTTCCCCTAACTGAGCTACCTTGCCTGGCCTCAGTGGAAGAGGATGCTCTTAGTCCTGATTCGACTTGATGTGCCGGTGTGGGTTTATAGGGGTCTCCCCTTTCTGAGGAGAAGGGGAGGGGGGCTGAATGAGAATAGCCCCTCATAGCCTCATGTGTTTGAATGCT